TAAAGAATTGTGAAAAGTATGTGCACTTCTTTCTATAAAAATCATTTATTTTGTTAGATTATTGCAAGACCATTGAGGAAAATACGGACCTGTACAATCTCGTTCTTGGGCATGTTGTATTTTGGGTGTAAATGGACTACGAATGGGGTATAGATATAGGATTTGGATTCATCCAATTTCAGATATATGATACTAAATGCATATTTAGTGTCACGGATTGATAGAAATTCGAGGTTCTATAAAACATACAATTCCGTAATAATGTCATTATCAAATAAAAACTTTATATCCAAGATAATACCAGTATATTCAATCAAGTATAAGGGAAAAAATTAACTACAAGTCGTATTCAATCTTTGAGGCTTCCTGATTGGCGGAATGTGTTGCCCACACGCAAATACAGTTACTCGGTCCATGTAGAGCGAAATACAGATACAGATAATCATGTACGGTAAGCTCCAGTTTTTGACTATCAGGTCGACATTACCAAGGAATTGCTCATGAGATAGCTGCACAAAGAGTTTTCCGAAATAAGCAGAAAATTCCTGAAAAATTATCATTCTATTTTAACACACGTACGATTCTAGTAATAAAAATAGTGAACTGCTATTAAAGAAGATATTTACAATCGAAAAAACATTATTTTAAATAGACATTCAAACGCAGCTACACATTCACAGAGCTATTTATGAAACACCCGATTCGGTGGAACATTTTGAAAATTACACTATGCAGTGAGGTCAATTTTTAAAACAAACTGACCATCTGACAGATTTTATTTTTTGACAATGAAATACGTCAAATAAAGTCGATTTCAGCGATAATTATGAAGTGAATGTTCAAAGGAAACAAAAAATAGTAGCATACCAAACCAGATAGTAAACTAATTTTCCTATATTCTTGTGTTTCTTCTGTAGGAGTGATCATCTGACAAAATATTTACACGGGTAGTAACTCGAAGCTAAAAGATGTTTCAAAGTGCCTAATCGGTTTCAACCGAAAAGAATAGATCAAAAGTCAATACTTATATGTCTTAACGTTCCTTTTTACCTTTTGAATAGTCTTTTAATTGTGCCTAAGCTCGCTGACCAAGACTACGTACATTTTCACTCCCACTGTATACAATACTTGTATTTTCCCAAAATGTATCATGAGTAGGTACAGATTTTCCGAAGCCTTCAGTACTTGGCCAAACCATCGCTTTTTTGGGCGAAGACCAAAAGTGTACTTTTTGGCCAAATGTGGCCAAGGCTGAAATCAATGGCGAAGCTTCAGCCGGGTCTTACGGCTGTGTATTAACCATAGTAACATACTGTGTATGTGAATTTGAATGATTTTGTAAACGATAACCGTCAACCAATATCATAGATTCCAATATACAGACTTGAATAGAAACGGCTGAGCGCTGTTTCGTGCTCATTAACAGCTGATCAGTGCGGTATAGGTATTAGATCTGGTCTTGATGATGTGCGCCATCTCTTTGCATAGCGCAGAACGTCGAAAGGTAATGAGCCAGAAAACGTAAGTGTCTTTCTTTCATCTTCATTCTTACGGGATTAGAATTGAGAACAATTGGTGTGTGGCGACCGTCAGCTCTCCTACTTACTTGCGCACAATGTTTTGAGTTTTTTAGAGGACCATACCTACTTTGCTTTGCGTCCCGTTTGTCTGTCTCCAAGGCTAGACCTAACACATGTAACAGTACTAATCAGTCGCTAATGAGCACGAAACAGCGCTGTGTGCTGTTGGTCACGGTTACAGAGACAGAAAGCAAACATTTCCATTTCACTCTGTATTGTCACTGTTGAAAGGTGGAACAGAAATATGTCTCAGGATGCCTAAGATATTGAATGGTATGGATAACGTACTCGTACATATGTGCTAAAAGTTTTGGCACAAAATATTTATCGGGTTCTTTTTTAATGAAGAAATTTATTTAAACACTATAGTTTTTGCAAATTACAACTCAATACCATACTATGGAATTATGTAGAGTGGTTCGTTGTACTCTACCAGACGCAACTTCCTTTGAATGTCTCTCATGAGGTCCTGGGGGGACTTTAGATCAATTTCTCTCAGTTTTTCGTAAATTCACCGTCTTAATTGTTCTTCATCTTGAGATCAAAGTTCTAGGGGTTATTCATTGTAACAGTATAAAACATTTGAGTACAGGGACCCATATCCGGTATAGTATCACTAACGGCACTACTGCCCCAGACGCGTTGAAATTTAGAAAGACGATGAATTGCTTAAATAGGATTTAATGTATTTAATTTTTGCCTTTTGTACATGATATCATCACAACAATTGTTCAAAATGTCTTCCTCCAACCTGAATACACCGATTTAAATGTCGCACATGATTTCGGCGAACTTGACTAAAAATTTGATACTCGTTTTGAATGATTTCAAATGCTGCTTAATTCATCCAATTAAGTCTTGCTCTGTTTCTACTGGAGTTTCGTAAACCAAAGACTTTACATGTCTCCACAGGAAAAAATCTAACGACATTAAATCGGGTGACCTAGGAGGCCAAGAAACTGCTCCACCCCTGGCAATCCACCGGTGCCCAAACCGCTGAGCCAAATACTCACGTACTTGTACAGCAAAGTGAGTCGGCCCTCCATCATGCTGAAACCACATTTGCTGTCGAACGTTCAATGGAACATTTTCAAGAAGTTCTGGACGAACTTCCTCCAAGAGACGCCGGTAAATAGGTCTTGTTAACTGTTCGGGTAGAAGGTATAGCCCAATCAAATAATCATCAACAATGCCTGCCCATACGTTGACAGACCAACGTTGCTGATGTTTTCTAGGAAAAATTGCATGGGGATTTTCTTTGTTCCAAACGTGGCTATTCCTACTATAGAAAATACCGTCTCTTGTTAAAGAGGCTTCATCGGTCCATAAAACATAGCGTAAAAAATTTGGATGTACAGCGATTTGATGAAGAAGCCATTGACAAAACTGAACTCTAGGATGATAATCGGCTGCAGTCAATCCTTGAACTTTCTGGAAATGGTAAGGATAAAGTTGTTGCTCGTGTAGCACCCGCCAGACGGAAGCATTACTCTTATTCATATCCTCAGCAATGTGACGTGTACTACTTGATGGTTCGTCGGCAACACGGGACCTCTTCTCCAAATTCGACCGTTCTTACGGTTCGAGCAACACCAGTATCATGCATGTTGGTTTTAAACCGCCCACGAATAGCAATAAACTTTTTGTATCCCGGATGCTGTCGTTCGGGATAACGTTCTTGATACAACCGCGCCGCTGCTCGTGAATTGCAGCTTGTTGCTCCGTATGCCAAATGCATATCCGCCAATTCTTGATTGGTAAAGTTTTCCATTAGCAACAATAAATTTTTGTTAAATTCTTGCAAACTTCACAAATACTATAGCACGACTAAGGCGATATGGAACGCAGCTACAAAAAACAATCTCTGTTATCGTTTTTAAAGATAACAACACACAAGCGTCGGATATGGGTCCATATACTCCAATGTTTTCTACTGTTACACTGAATAATCCTTACAAGTTTGATCCCATAGTTCTGAAACACCCTGTATGGTCATTAGCATCATGTTCGTGGGCAAACTGAAGCAATTTGGAAAGGCAGTTACCAATATTAAAAGCTTCATCCCTCACTCTTCCCACAAAAGGTTGGATACACCTCTGTTAAGAATTGCGCACCAGACAAGGATTTTATCTGCACATTTCGCTTTATGTTTGTATCTGACATTGTCAGGGCATTCCTCTACGTTGTCCACATGAAATCCGTCGTTTCCCTTAATTTTTTCATACTCCAACTACCATACCATAAGTGGATACAGGTGAAAGGGGGGGGGCGCCACACGGACTCTGGCAAGGGAACACGTGTGCAAGCAATATGCACACATTCTGGCCCCGCCTACGAGATCCGCCGAGTGGTACCTCCGCGTTCGACAGTCAGAGACCGTCTACCACCTACGGACAATTAAAACACCCACAGCCAAGAGATTTGAACACGCGCAACGCACGGCGACTGATTAGTAGACCGTAGCGTCTACCACTACGCCACCGCTGTTGCCTTGTGAGTTTGCTCACCTTTTCCTAAATTTGCAAATTTGGGGCTGTCTAGGTCTTCAACTATGTTCAACCAGACAGCTATTGCACAATATATACAAACATATGCAGCTCTGAATACACTTGCGAAGTATCAATAAGACCTTGAAGATGCGCATTTCAGAATTACTCAAAGTGAAGTACTTTCCGTCATCCAAAATAATGAATTTTCCATTGGCAAAGTGTACCTGCCTCACTTGACGACAGCATCTTGTTATACGATATCGTACCCTTAGAAGATCTGTATTGACGAGTCAGTCTCCTTGTTGACATCTTAAAGCGAAAACTTCAAAATAAATAAATGTGGTGACAGTAAAGTAAGTAAACAAACTTTTGTTTACAAAGGCAACTTGATATTATTTTGTGTTTGTTAAAATTAAAGCCAATAAATTTTGTGCAAAAACTTTTAGGGCATACGTTATTCAATTTTAAGCGGTGGGAAGCAAAAAAAATATTTGAGGTGTTTCAGTAAACATGATGAGAAAATCTTTCGTAGTGTGATAATCAGCTTTCAGAAATACTTCAAGGTTACACAGTTGTACATTGCAGAGGGAAGTGAAGCACATGTTTTGAATAGAAAAGCTTGTTTCATCTTCCAGCTGGCTCAAGTTTGTTTTTGTATAGGTAGAACAATCCAAAAAACTATAATCAGGGTCTTTCTTACCTTTCGTACGAGGATCATAAAAGCATGCAAGGGTGAAATGCAACAAGATGCCTAAAATATTGAATGATACGGGTATTCACTTTAAAGACAAAGCCGAATAGTTCTCCAATGCAGAGGGAAGTGAAGTACAAATAAACACAGTCAGCTTAATTTTAATTCAAGGAACATGGAGACATACCATGGTTCAATCATAGCAAAATGTTCAAGATAATTTTTAACGTGGATACTCACGGTGAAGACTAGTACTGGACTGGTAAGGGAAGACACATCACAAGTATGCTCAACTCCCACTGGAAAGACATATTTTTTATTACCGAAAGGATTTAATGACTATGGTAATTCCATGTTGATTAAATAGAGGCAATAATCTGATTCGTAAGTCAGTAAAAATCCTCAATTAAATTGTGGAGCATTGCTGACTGAGTTTCCGCATGCAATTATCTATGATTAGGAACTCAGAATGAGCAAATGAAGATTGGACAATGCATTTAGAGCAGTTCAAGTATACTGATTTTCACATTTCCATAGATGCTCAAAGGTCAAGGCAACTTTCTAAATTTCATCCAACGTTTAAACAGATCCAAGCGGTGGGAAGCAAAAAATTATTTGAGGTGTTTCAGTAAACATGATGAGAAAATCTTTCGTAGTGTGATCTAAGATAAACAGCTTTCAGAAATACTTCAAGGCTAAACAGTTGTACATTGCAGAGGGAAGTGAAGCACATGTTTTGAATAGAAAAGCTTGTTTCATCTTTCAGCTGGCTCAAGTTTGGTTTTGTATAGGTAGAACAATCCAAAAAACTATAATCAGGGCCTTTCTTACCTTTCGTACGAGGATCATAAAGCATGCAAGGGTAAAATGCAACAAGATGCCTAAAATGTTGAATGATATGGTTATTCATTTAAAAGACCAATCAATGGGAAGATGGTAATTGAACACTGATCAGAAATACGCTTCAACTACTGGTACAAAGATGTATTTGGGTCTACAAATGCTATCGGAGGCAGCAAAGTGAATGTTCCAGCTTTGAGGATAGTCCTGCGAACTAAATGTAAATTGCAGCGAACGTGATTGATTTTGTTAGACTAATATAGAGGCAATATGATGATAGATATGTTATGGGAAGTCAGCAGAGTGTTTTAGAAACGACACATAAATGCACTTACATTGTGGAGGGGTGCTGTCTACGATCCACATGTAGAGGACGATACTGTGCAGGTGAAGGGTAAAGTATCTAATCGGCGAACATTAAAACTATAGGCGTAAACAAACACGGTGAGGTGCTATTTCGGTGCATGAATACGCGACCATCGTTATTTTCCGTGTCTGAGAAACACTGGCTGAAAGCGGTGTTTCAGTTTTTTCAGCCGTCCTGTCTGGGCTGATACCCGAACCTCCACGACTCCCGGCGGAAAATTATTGGAACGGGCTACGCGCGCTGATGCCACTTTCGTGGAAAACTCTCAGATGCAAGGACTTTCGATCATCGATGTTAGCAATTTTGTATACAGGGTGTTTCTTACATGAACCGACAAAAAAATATGGGTAATTGGGGACGCCATTTGATAATTTTTGGTGGAAACCGTAATGCTCTAAGGGCTACGGTTTCCGAGATATTATTTTTTTCGTTTTTTATTTTTGCTGAATTACCTACAATGGCGCAGCACTATCGTGATAACTCTTTTGTTTGTCGAGATAATAACACAAAATACCTCTGGTGATACTGAGTTTTATTTCAAAAAGTTCCGTGTTTCTTTGCCTTTCCAACGATATGCTACACATCATAGAAATAATTTGTTTAGTGGTCAAAATTACAGGAAACAGTGTGTCGAGCTAATGATTTTTTGTGCGACTTATACATTTGAATCAGCCTTTTCGAAATCACTGCCTCCAGCTGTTGAGAATAATGGAGTTAGCAAGAGCCAAGCAGTACACAGATTGGGAATACCTCTTATGCAGGTGGATTTGAAGTTAATGACATCCGATCCGGGATTACCATAATACGTCTTAGTGACAACGGTTTACAACAATTGTACTATTTGGTTCAACAAGCAATTATTTTACTTAGCTATGATTTAAAACGATTTATCATAAGTGTTCTAAACCGCTGCCATTAATGTCTAATCCCATAACCTGACAGGTATGTATTCCAGGTTTCGCAGCTCATTAATTTCAGATAAACTTGCCCGTGTTGGATTCCTGAGCTTACCTGATACCTACATTTCAATTACAATACTCAGCATCTCATAGATAAAAGCGTGCATTACGGAATTAGGGCTAGTCGAGCTTTGACTATCTCTCATACCAGAAGTGTATTTGCGTTTGATTTTCTTGTCCCTGTTTTTGTTATTGTTGTTTGTTTTCACCGTCATTATCAACTTTGATTGTTGTCATAATGCCGAGGTATAGTAACGAGGAATATGCTGATATGTTGCTGGCTTATGGCAGTGATAACTGCAATTCACATGATGCGTAAAGTCTACCAGCAGCGATACCCTGATCAGCAGTTACATCACCATGGGACCTTCGCAACAACATATCGGCGACTGGGAGCGGGAATTTTCAAGAGCCTAGAGTGAGTGGTCGACAACTCAGTGTGACTACTGATGAGCAAATCCTAAGAGTATATGATGCGGATCCTACCACAAGTATTTGGGTTGTGGCTGAAAGACTTGCTGTGTCGGTGAAAAAAGTCTGGTCTGTGTTACAGGCAAGCAGGAAATATCCACTTCATTATTGTCCTGTACAAGGTAATGTCATTTTAAGTTTTGTCAGGGTTATGCAACATTTTAATAATCATTGTCATAATCACAGTCACAAGCATAAGAGTTGAAATCCTTATTTCTTATGAACACGTGTATACAGCTTGTCAAAGTGATAGTCATAAAATAGTCTATGGTTATAAAAATTAGCCCTTGTGAAGTTTGACACATGTGCAGTTGTGCTAATGGTATGCGTATTTATGTTACAGGTCTGGACGAAGGTGACAGTACGAGAAGGCAGGAGTTCTGCAGATTCATTCTTCACACGGACGTGGACGAGGGTAGCTTTTTGAAGAGGATCTTGTGGACAGACGAGTCCAGCTTCAACCATGACGGAATCGGGAATTTTTACAATCTACACTATTGGGCAGACCGGGACCAGAACCCACACAAGAAAAGACAGTGCTCATTTCAAAGACGAATAAGCGTCAACGTGTGGGCCGGCGTTATTGGACGGACTCTGATAGGAGCTCATTTTTTTCTAGCCCTAGCCTAAATGGTGAAAATTATTGCGTCCAACCCGTTCGACATTTTTTGGATAATGCGTTTCCAAACGCCTGGACTAGTAGGGGTGGTCCTATATCTTGGCCACCACGGTCTCCAGGCCTGACACCTTTGTACTTTTACGACTGGGGCCGAGCGAAGGAATTGGTGTGTCAGAGGTGCCGACCAGTGCCAATCCAAAAGATTGAAGCTGATGCCTTTCGTCAGATGAAGGAACAGATCCTGCTACTCAAAAACAACCGTTGAAATACGAAGAAGATATCGAGCATATCTCAGAAATGAAGGCAGTCATTTTGAAAATACCTTATGATATGTTAACATCAAATTAAAACGTGAAACATTGAAAAAATAAATTCTTTATTCCTGAACCTAATCAGTTGTTTTCTCGTCTGTCGACCACAAAACATCTTATTTCTATGATCTCATGTATCTCGTTGTGAAAGCAATAAACCACAGAAATTTTGTAAATAAAACTAATTTTAGAAAAGGTAGAGGTTTTTTGTACTCGAATCTTGAATTTAAAATTGCTTATTCACTCTGGGCTATTTTCCGACTTTGGAAGGTCATAAGTAATTTGATGGACAAGCTTTGTACAAACCATTGATCCCATCTGATTCAGCATGATATACAGAATCGACTAGAATTTATCATGTGTTACTATCTCGAGAAACAAAAAACTTATCACGATAGTTCTGCGCCATTGTAGGTAATTCAGGGAAAAAAAAAACGAAAAAAATCATATCTCAGAATCCGTAGCCCTTAGACTATTACGGTTTCCACCAAAAATCATCAAATAGCGTCCCCAATTACCCATATTTTTTTGTCGGTTCATGTAAGAGTGGACCGAGAAACCTAGAACCCCGAAAGTGGCAAAGAAAAATTATCAGGAATTAGTTTCAGCTCTCTAAAATGAATGCTTCGTTCTTCATTTATGTTTTGCCTCCATTTCGGTTAATAATCAAATCCAAGCGAATAACCAAATAAATTGGTATTTACCATTTTGGATTGGAATTTACCGATACGTTCAAGCGATGTGGTTATCAGTTTGGTTACAAGGTCCGTGACGTCATCAATCCGCTGTTATATATGTCATAGTTATCACCGTAAAATTATGGTATTTACCCAACTCCGGAGTAGTTTTATATTTCTGGTTATTATTTGAAATATGACAAGTTAGAATTTTGGCCGGTATTGAATATTTTTATTGTACCTCATGTCCATTTTTGGGAAACTTGATACATGCTGACTTCAGTTTTAGCATAAAGTAGGCCACCTTATTAGTTATATCATTACTGTTGTTTGGGACATTTTAAATCTAGTTCATATGGTTAACAAAGTATCCTGTGTAGCCATATACCTCAAGAAGATTAAAATATGGCCATATACACTCACTGGATAGTGTCCACCTGTATACGGTTTTGCTAATATCTTTTTTTCATCGCTTTATCCTAGCATTTCTGCTAAATCAATAAATGTTGTCTTTGACATGCGGAAAAGTTTAAAGAATTGAAAGTTATCATAGCTACAAAGCCATGGTTCCACCATTCAAATTATTATTTTTTTATTTATTCAAGTATAATTAATTTTATTTTCACGCCAAACTTGTTTAAAAATAAGAGAGATTTTCTCAATATTATGAAAGTTTTCTTTTTAAACTTTACGTATCACTATTGTAGACGATAAAGCACGTATTATTAAGTAATAATAAGACTTAAAAAAATCATATACGCACTTTTCTAAAATAAACAAATTGCAACAAGCCCGTGGTTGAAAGCAACGCGTTCAAGCGATTCGAGTAACTGTCGTCATCAACTCGTTTGTCATCTTAAACCACATTATAACTGCGATAAATAACACAGAAATGTTGGTTATTGGATTTGATTACGGCTTCAAAATCATTTCAGAAACATTAGTGTACCTAACTTCTGATTGGCTTTCATTTCATTGATTAAAGAGTGAAAACGACTTTTAAGACATAACATATTGAAAACGTATTTAAATATTCTGAGTGACAAAAAATTGCGCAGCCACCACAAAAACTTAAGAGAAAAACCTGACCATTTTATCATTTGTTGTTCATAGGTGTTTACCTTTTTTGTCAATCCGTATATTTCACGCGTTCTAGATGCAACAGCTCTGCGTGGGTTTTCGAGTTTTTGGCGTTTTCAGGACGATAACGAGGGTGACATATCTGGTACATTAAAAAACGACAGATAGCCTCATACACGCTTTTCGAAATGATGGCTTCGCACAATCTCAGCATGTTACGGGACTTTCAGACTATTGTAGTAACACACTGTATAGGAATGTAATAATGATATCTCAATGGTGAGAGCTAAATTTGAAACACCCCGTATGAAACAATTTATTCCATTGTTAATATAGCTTTCGTTGACAGAAAAAATGAGAAAAAGTGTTAATTTCAAGTACGGCTATTTTTTAGAAGCACTTTACAAATAAGCATCACGCGGAACAAAAATCATGTTTTCTCTATAACTACTTCTAGACTTACAAAATGGGTCCAATATGAACGAATTCAAACATCGCACTTGTTTGATGTCCACTCCACGTGAAATGGGTGAAATGGCTCATAACTAAAACGGGAGACAAACTAAACTATTTGTAGTTAAATCCTTATTCAATTCTATATGGTTACTTAGTCATGAGGTTCCTATAGCTGCCTTCCGGCTTCATTGATCCGATGATATTGTATTGTCATCTGACTTACATACGCATGTAAATTTTCAGGTAAATAGAACTCCAGACCGACCCCTACAACTACAGGCCTATAGCTCTGCTTTCTGTTATAAGTAAGGTGATGGAGGGGTGCATAAATCGCGAGCTTCTGGATCACCTCGAATGGCACAGCTTGACTAGCGATAGGCAGTATGGTTTCCGGCACCAACGATCCACAGGGGGCCTCCTAGCTTACGTCACGCAATTGTGGAGTAAACTCGTCCAGTCTTATGGTGAGGCTCTTGTCGTTGCTCTTGACATCACGAAAGCGTTCGTTCAGCTGTGCCATGCTGCCCTCTTAAGCAAACTTCCATCCTATGGCCGCCCAGAAAAGCTTTTCAGATGGGTGGCTGACTTTATCTCTGGTGGCAAGATATCCGTCG